TTTTTTTTTTTTTTTTTACAAAGTAAACTTTGCTTTCTCAGATTTGAATAAGCGAAGAATTTTAATACTCTAACATATCTGATAAAACTCTTCAATGCTGTACATTTATATTTTGTCCTTAAATTATAAAACATTCTGAGAAGTTTTTTATCAGTTAGCCAACTACTTCAAACACGTTCATCTATGGTGGTCATTTTTTTTTTTAGCATAATGTCGTAAACCGTAGAATATTTTTTACGATAGCAGTCAATTATGCAAATTATTACCAGTTTATTTTGCTGTCCCTGTGCAGTCACAGATCACCTGCTAAACAAATACCTCAGGAGTAATACAATTTGAAAATTTAGAAGTAAATACAAAAGCAAAAAAGTCTTTTTTTTTCTTGGATACAGGAGCAAATATCAGTACGTTGTAAGCATTCGTGTTTATTTAGCTTTTGACATCAACTTTTTTTTTTTTGTTTATATCAGTCAATACAGTAGACAAGAACTTAAAAACTATCATATGCATATTTCTATGACAGAGTGTTTACAAAACAACCTATTTAGTTTGAGCAGTCAAAGTTTTAAGATGCATCAAATTTTAGTTAATAATCATTTCTTTTTTCTTTTTCTTTGCTATCTGGTTTTAAAACTGCATTCTAAAACCGGCTCATATCACCACTGAAAACCTCAACAAAAAAATCACTCAAGCAACTGGATTAAAATCAAAAATTTAGCAAAATTTTATTTGTCTTTCTTTCGTTATCATTCACCATTTTCACACTCGTAGTAATCGGCAACAGCAGCAAAGAATGCTTCATAAACTTTAGCATCGTTAATGCACATCGTTGATCCGCCACGGACTAACTGATGTTCCTACGAAAAAATACCGGTAGCTTAAAAGTCTTAAAACTATTTAATTATAATACTGAGCATTAAACTAGCAGACTCAGCAAATACAAACTTAAACATTTACCTGTCTGTTGATGTCACCGATACATACCCAAGCATCATTTTTTCCGCCATTAACATCAGTTGAAACAGCAAATTTAGAATGATCATGATAATTACTGAATTCAATGTCAAATGGAAGCGAAATTTCTTTAACATTGAAAACCTAAAAATAACATTTAGCAAGTTTTCTTGCCATATTCAGACCCATACTAAAAATAGTTTTTTTTTTAAATTCACCGATTAACTACTACCACTGAATTATTAGTTGAAAAATGTCAGAAAAGAAGAGGTAAGCAACTAACATAATATTTGTTTGGTAGCTTACACCACGAGTTCAAATTTGGATTTGAGGAAGACCCGTGTTGCCAAGTTTCTGTTTTAAGTGAAACCTTTAAAGTTGGAGCAACCAAGTCGAAGTACAGATCTGAAAAAAACTTTTTAATAAAGTGAATAAAACTGCAACCTAATTATCAACACTAATTTCCAATTTGTTTTACCTTTTCCAAAACCTCCAGCCTTTGCAAAACTGTAAAATTGTTGGCCTCCCCGACTTTTTAAAGAAACAAGACTTTCAAACGGTGAAGTAGTTTTGTACTGGCCAGCAAGCACCTGCAAAACTGTTACATCTTTTAACAAGAAAATTTTGAACGTTTTTCTATAAATGTGCAGACGCTTAAAATAACTGACAAACTTTTGTGCGCATAAAACTTTTGAGAAGCTCAAAAATGTGTCGTCAAACAATGGAATATCGAAAATCAAAAGTGGTTCGCCATTGTAAGTTTCTTTCTTAAATTATATCTTTCAGCATGCAAATTTCAATTGTCAGAGATCAAATCGTAAAAAACAAACTACCTCTGCCAACAGTGGAACGTCTGCAGCAACAGCTGTCGGAACTGATGATGCGTAGATGTACGGCCGAATATAATATAGCTGATTAGCTAAAATACTGGAATAAACGTAGGTATTCAAAGTACTTTTCTGTGCTCTTGTTAAAAAGCCGTTTTTTATTCCCAAATATTTGTTTAATTATAAGTGTAACTATGAATTACCAAGGTCTGGAAGAGCTGTAATAGCTAGCGAAATACAGATACCCATTTGACCATAGGCATGACCATTTGATGGATACTCATATCTGTCACTAAATGGAAATCTTGGAATACTGTGAGTTATCCAGAATCCCTGACTTTCACCAAACGCTAGTAGACCTTCAACAACAAACTTCATACAGCGATGGAAGATGGTTAGGTTGAGAACTTTCGAAAACACTATGACAAATCAAATTTGCTAGAAGATGAAAAAGATTAGAAGTCTTACCTTTACTATGACCGTGAAAACGTGACCAAGTTTTATTTCCAGGCAATTGATCATTCCAAAATACACTTGTTACCTAAACGGTTTTTAGCTTTTGATGCTAAAAAAGGTTTACATTTTACTGATTGCAAAAAATCCTAAAAACGTAAAAAATCTTCATACACTTTTATCTTAAAATCAAATTTTAAATTCAGTATCAATTCTTTTTTGTTACAAAGTTGATACTTTTGTCTAAAATTTTTAGTAAACAACCAGTATACTCACGTCTGGGTCATCTATATTTTTGTAATACTGCGTTAGAGTGTAACCGATGGCTTGATTCGCAGATTCTGCACCGACAGATGAGAAACTCCACTCCTTATTGTTAGCATCCATATACAGGAAAGCTGTACCATTTACCAAATGTGGATTCTGATTTGCAAGATTCTTAAGTCGGCCAATTTTGTAAAATATAAACCTTAAAACTAAAACCTTTAACAACTGTAGTCTCAATATTACTGTGATAATATAAAGATGTTGTTTATGCATTTTAACTTATCTGTTAGCTGACCAAAAAAAATAATCTAAAAGACCAAATGTTAGAAATAAATAATTAGCACAAGAACTCTATAGAAAGTCTTCTGTAGTGCTTATTATTTACAGAATTACTGCAGTTTTACAAACTCTTGTATTGTTTTATTCGTTACAATTAGCTTTTATCTTTTTTGCTTTTGTTTCTCAGTTTTCTCTATATTCAACAACGATAGAATTACAAAAAAAAATCAATTAACAAAAATTCCTAATATTTAAAAAAATTTTTTTGCTGCAAATGGAGTGAAATGAAGTTGAGTTTTCTGTGTAAAAAAGTACCGCAAAGTTTATTTGCTGTGGGCTTCAGCAGAATTTGTGCGCACGAATAGTTGTAAAAAAGGTTTCAAAAGTTGTATTTATAATTGTTCTTGATGATTATAATTTTTTAACTATTTTTAGACTGTAAAATCAGAAAGTTTAAAAAAAAAGAACGTTATTAAATGCATCAATAATCATTCTTAAATAAAAATAAAGCTTGTTACTGGTACAGGTGTTAATTTTGCTTGTAAACTCATGATAGACAGATTTTTTTGTCTGACAAGACTGTAGACAATAAGTGGTAATAGAAGACATTTTGGTGGTTTCTTTAACAAAATGGGCTTATTTTTTTCAGACTTGTAGAAGTGCTCTTTTTTCTGCCTTTTTAGCTTTAGCAAATTATTGTTAGAATTATAAAAAATACTAACCAGTCAACTTCTTCGTTGTTTTGGTCTCGACACGAGAAGTTTGGTGGTGCAGCTGTGGTTACAGCCACTAAAAGTGACAACAACAGCAGCATTCCGTATATAGTCAGCTAAATTTAAAAAAAAAGTTATAAATTTTAAATTTTTTCTTGGCAGAATTAAAAGAATTCAATAAAATTTTTACGACTTATTCTAATAACTTCAAAACAAATATTTCATATATTAACTCAAATTTTAATTTAGTTTTTTACTGATCAAATAGCTGACTAGCGTAATCTGTATGACGTCACTGATGAATTAAGATATTCTATGCTAACCTATCACAGTTTAATAGAACTTTAAGAACAAAATTGTTGAAATAAAAAGTTGCATTAAACACTTTAAAATATTCAATTTTGATTGAACAACAGAAAAAAATCTACAAAACTTGATTATGGTTGAGTTGAAAAACTTTGCAGTTTAATGACAGTTGTCTAATTTAAAATCTGTTCTTTTTATATGTATTTTGGCTTCTTCAAACATCAAAAGTCAACAAAAAAAATTTTTTTTTTCTTTCACTTTTTCATTCTCTTTTCGGTCTTATCTTTCTGTACAGAAAAAAAAACTGAAATATTTCAAATTTATTTATAATTAGCACTTTTATGTATGTGAATACTATCCATAAACATAAAAGTCAATTATGTAGTCTAAGCATTGTAAGTTGCTATTTTAATGCTTACAAACAAAACGACATTTTAATAGCGTCCACTTTTCTATGGTCTTATTACGAAAGTACCTCAATAAAATTTTTTGCTTATTGAACAGTTTAAGTCACAAAAAGTAAACCAATAGTCCAAAAAACACACTGATGTCAGGTACAGAATTTTATAACATTTTTGGAGTTTGCAGTCTATTATAAATAGGCATTTTTAATTAAACTTTTTTGAGCTCTCATTCTTAAAGAACAATTGATGTTCTTAATTTTTTATTTAAAAATATCTGAACAATGTGTCACCTTATATTGTAAAACCTGTTCCGTTTAGCTTCCAAATGATTCAAAAACATTTAGATATAATACAAAGGCACTTCTTCAGCTAATATAAACCCATAATTTTTTGCTTTTACAGTACTGCAGCAGGTTTTAATTGTTCCAAGATTAAGTTCTGCCACCAGTTGTGCCAACATCTTGATAAAACATTTGCTGACTTTAAGTTTAAAGTCACCATTTCGAACAGAGCTCTCTCTGCATCACAGTATCTGCAACTCAGTCTCAAAATTTATTGGTAATCTTTTTCGTTGTCTGCGCGTTTAGATTCCGTTGCCGGGAATTGTTTTCAGCGTTCTCTTTCTTGACACGATACTTCTTCAGTCATTAATACCGAAATTTCTAGTCTTACAAACGGTTTTTTTCGTTTTTTTTTCTTCTTTTACTCTGTAAGTTCACCACTTAACCTCCACATATGTGAGTGATACCATACAGTTAAAGTGTAGCAATTTTTCAGACTATATTTTGTTTTCAACAAAAACAAAAAGGCCGGTCGATCAACAGTTTTTTCAAAATAAAAATTCAAAACAGCTTCCTGAAAAACTAAAATAGACGAAAAAATAACAAAACTGAGGGGTTTAAACAAAGTCTTTCTTTGTTGAAAGTCGGTTTTGTGACAATACGGCAGTGTCCTCGGGAAAAAAAAAACGTACAGATTTTTTGGTTTATTTTGCAACTTTTTTCTCCTAAAATTATGTTCATCTTTTAACCACTTCTTTTTTTAAATTTACTTTTGTTCACTAAAAGTTTAGAAACATTTGGTAATTTTTAAATGGATATTTGTTAAAGAGCTTGTTCTGATTAGCCATTTAAAAAGTGCTTCTAATGCATCCAATAGCATTTTCCAAACATTACGGTCAATAATAATAAAAAAACTTTCCTCATAGGTACAAATCCTAAATAGCAAAACCTGTAGATGAAAGTGATGTAATTTTTCCCCAACTCATTAAAACAACACAAAAAAGTGAAATTTAATGATGTTCGTCGTAAAAGAATTCCAAAATTCATTGCTGTCATCTATCTGCCAAAGAAAAAAGAGAAGTACTAAATGATAAGTACGCACAATTGACAATATTATTTGGACAAGTGATAAATCTGCTGCTATCTTTTGTCAATAACCTAGCTACCCGACTAGAGAAATTTCAACCGGTCTATGTCATGTGGAGCTTTGAAAAAAATTTTTATAAAAATTAAAGCAGCACCAAAATTAATGTTATTTTTCAGGCAAGGGAAAGAGATATTTGTTTTCTAATAGTATATCTATCTTCTTCTTCTGGTGTCATAAAATCTCCAAGAATAGCGTTAAAAACAAAAAGAGCATAAGCAAATCATCATCACTGCCACATACAGACTGATGATATTTTTTGTAATCTGTTAGCTGCCATCATTCAGTTAAAACTATCGACGATTTAGCTCTTTTGCAACTTCAATCCCTTTTTGCTGACACC